CCTTGAATAACTGGTACACCTGGCAGCATGGGACCCGGCACACAGTGGCCACTCCATGCTTGCCTTTGCTGCCACCACCTTGGTGTCTCTGACCCTAGACCCTTTCCTGTGGAAATTCCAGCCTAATTTTTCCTTCTGGTGAGGGAACCCCAATCCTGTTCATCGGGAACAATGGCTGGCACAATTCGGGAAAACAACCCATGGGAAACAGTCCTAACAAGCCCTGTGAACCTGTGGGGCAGCTGTTCTCAAAATTTGCCTATCACCTCTCAAGCCAATTTTCCCAAATTTCCTTAAGATTTCATCAGGAAATGTGAACTGCCAATTTCATTATTAAGTCTTTATTTTAATAACAATTCTTGGTTCTTGCGTCAAGTCTGAGGGATGGAGCGGGAGAGGAGAATCCACAGAAGAGTCCTTCCTTCCTTGTGAAGAAAGAACTGACCCCAAAGCCCCCTTGTTTCATTTTAAGACCAGCGGCATCCCAGCAATTGTGTTTGCCTTGCTGTAGGTCACAACCACCCACAGGCACACATACGGACACACACGCCTCAATAAACACAGTGAAACTACACAGACTTTCCAGAAAGCAAATTGTGTTTCTAGTAACAAACCACAGTCTGCCTCAAGGACCTGTGACCGGGTTTTGCCCTGAGAGGATGCTCCATGGGAAGTGCTCCTGCCCAGAGCCGGCAGCCCAGCCTCCAGGCGGCTTTGGGCAAGCCCCAGCAGGATGCCAGGCGGGCTGGTGAGCAGGAAGAGACGCTGCTCACAACCTCTCCTTGCTGTAATTTACTAAATCCATCTGGGGCTCCTTTGAGCCGTTTTCTAGAAATGCCACATTTCAAGAGTCTCCCTGTTAGTAAAGGTCAGAGTTCACATAGGCCTTTCACGTTAAAGGAGCTTGAAAGAAAAGGAAAGAAAATGTATATTTTCAGCTTTAACCACGATTAAATGGGCTCAGGCCATGAGAACACTCAGATGATTTACATGATGTTACATGAAGAGCCAATTAGCCTAACAACTTCCGAAAAATATCTCGCTCAAGAGCACCCATTTATTAGACACTTGGAATGCATCAGGCGTTGTGCTAAGCTCCTCACTAGGATACAGTGATTCATCTCAACTACACTCTAACAGAGCAAGGCAGGCCCGCATATGATACCCATTTCACCTAAGGAGAGACTGAGGCTTAGAGAGGGTCAGTGATCTGCCTTGGGTCCCACAGCTAGTAAGTGGCAAGGCAGGAACAGAAACTTAAGACTGCCCAAATTGCAGGGCACAGTGGCTCACGCCTGTAATCCCGTCACTTTGGAAACCCGAGGCAGGCAGATCATGAGGTCAAGAGATTGAAGCCATCCAGGTCAACATGGTGAAAACCCATCTCTACTAAAAATATAAAAATTAGCTGGACATAGTAGTGCATGCCTGTAATCCCAGCTACTCGGGAGGCTGAGGCAGGAGAATCACTTGAACCCGGGAGGCAGAGGTTGCAGTGAGCCCAGATCAGGCCACTGCACTTCAGCCTGGCGACAGAGCAAGATTCCGTCTCAAAAAAAAAATTGCCCAAATCTAAAGTTGGAGCTCCCTTGCTCCAACTCTCAAGCCTTGGGAGTTCTGACTTAGTCCTGTTTCCAGCATCTGAGGAATGCAAGTTCATTTGCATGATGATGAAGCCTTATTAATTCACCAGCTCTGGCCTGGTCTGGATGAATCCAGAAGACTTTGGGGCCTCCTTGCAGCTGATCCTGGTCCTGAAACTCCGTGGTCACCTCCAGAGGGAGCAACCACAGCAGATTCCACTCACTACCCTGTGGAAGAACCCCAGTGTCTACCATTTCTGTATGTGATCTGAATGTGATCTGAGCCAATCCCAGGAGAGCTGGCCTCGGGTGGGCTCAGGAGAGAGATGGTACACACTGAGATGTGTCTGGCTCAAGGGAGAGGTTCTATGCCCTCTTTGCCAGCAAAGGTCTTGGGCCACCCTATACAGACCACCAAGCTGATTCCCTAATCCTGTTGGTGGTCCCTTTCATGCAACATGAGCCACACACAGTCAGGGCACCGTATTAGTGACAGCTCATTCGTCAGCCTCTGTCTGCCAAGACCACAAAGCAAATAAGGACTCCCTCTGGAATTTTAGGGATCATAATGAAATACTACAATGTGATAGGATGTGGGCTTAGGAGTCAGACTGCCTGGGTTTCAAATTCTGACACCTTCATTTTCAAGCTGTGAGAACTTAGGTGACTTTACCTCTCTGAGCTTCAGTTTCCTCATTAGTCAAATGGGGATACGAATCCCTATGTCATAGAGCTGGTATGATTAAATGAGATAATCTGTGTGAAGCTCTTGACAGGATGCCTGGCACATAGTAATCACTCAGTATATGAGGTTGGTCACCGTGCAGATGGCGGCAAAGGAATCAATGCTGAAGTGACATAGGGCTCCTGTGGGGCTGCACCACCTTCTGGGGAACCAGTTGGAGCTCTTGTTCCTTTCCCGTTCTCCAAATCCTCCTCAGCCTTCCAGGCCCACATGAAATCTCCCTCCTTCAGGAAGCCACCCTGACTACTCCAGTCCACATTGATCTCACCATTTCTAAGCTCTTTCTGTTCACTGTCTCTATAGACTACTCTAGCACCTGAATAGGCTCTAATAATTCTTCAGCTTCTCAAAGCAGCCAATGGCTCCTGGAAGGTGGACACCTCTATCCCTTCCCTCTCCACAGCCCAAGCCAGGGCTAGAAACACAGTAGATGATCCCTTAGCAAGCCTTCAGACTGATTTCAGTGTGGCTGTGGATGCCTGTGACTCAGCCCTTCTCTCCCTCACTCCTCCTCACCGCCCTGCTCTCCCTACTCACCCAACCCCTCCTCCAGTTCCAGCCAGCAGAGTGAGGAGTTAGAGCTATGACCCCGTAGGACAGTGGTTCCCAGACTATAAAATGTCCAAAGAAACTTGAGGGTAGGGGAGTTAACAGATGGGGAAAAATGTTTTCCTTATTTTCTTTTGCCAAATGAGGACACACACACACACACACACACACACACACACACACACACACACTTTGTCCTACCATCACTTTAGTGAAGAAAGGACGTTTTCACACCAATAAAGCAGTAAGGTCATACTCTTTGATTAAAATCTGGAAATTTTAACCTTATCGAGAAAACAAAACAAAACAAAAAGAACCTCACTGTTCTGACTTCTCTCCTTTCTCCAAGGACTGGAGAAAATGTCAGCCTTCACTGATCTGTGTCTGGGAAACTCATGGGTCTGGGGACATCTGTTTGGAGGAGGTGCCTGCTGAACCAGGGTTCCCTACAAACACAGGAGGACCCCTAAAGCCCTTGGCTTAGGCAGACCCGGATTCCCTTTCGGCTGTCCCAGAGGAGGTTCACCCCAAGCCAGACCCTATAACCTCAGGAGCTGAGGTGGGGGAGGCTGAGCTCCAGTCCCTGTGCCTCTCCCCTCAGGGTAGGGCCAAGCTCCTGCTTCCCCGCCAATCTGGAGCAGATCAGGCGAGACTGAGCGTCAAGCCCAACCTGGGAGGAGGCTGGAGAGAACTAATGGGCAGGGTCTTTCCCTCATCTCCATCACCAAGCTGAGCACTCGTGCACATTCCACCCCCCAGTCCCAGCCTGGGGAAAGAAGGAAAGTGGGCACCCTGGCCCAGAGGTGGTGGGGGAGGGGGAACGGGTGGTATCCGAAGCACCCCGCTGGGCGGGCGCAGATAGGATCTGAACACAGGGAAGCACGGCCCTGGTTCTTTGATCCGCAGCCAGCCACGCCGGGCCTGGACCCGAGGGAGGCACGGCTGTCTTCCGGCCCGGCTTTGCACCGCTGCCAGGGGTCCCGTGGGGCCCTCAGCGGGAGAGGTGTCCAATACCCGGCCCTCCCCCAAATACCCTCTATCCCAACTGCTCTCAGAAGAGGCGGGAGCATCTACACTGAATCCACCACAGAAACATGCTAGGGGGGCTGCGGTTGACTGCATCGCGATTCAAAGGGCCGGTGTCTTTTGTGGATGTAGTGGCTGAGCCAGGCCAAGCGCGCCTCGGAGGCCTTCGTGGACGCAGAGCTGGGTGCCATGCAGATGCGCTGGAAGCTAGACACTTTCCCGCGCTTCGAAAACCTAGAAGCTTCAATCTGGATCGAGTGAGGGTTAGAGGGTTAGTCAGGCCAGGGTCAACTTCTAAATGCGACTTCTCGGGTTGAATTGCTGCTGATGAGGGACCTACGTCGGAATCCCGCGGCCCACGTGGCTGCCCAAAGCTCCGAGTCTCCGGGCTGCAGGTTCTAGTCATGGAAACAACTTGGGAGAGCCATGGGGGTCGGGGTTTGGAGGATCGGCTGAGGTCCTTCCTCCTGATGGTCTTGGCTGTGTGTTCGCGGCTCGGAGCCGTTGCCTGGCTGAGGGGCCCGTCACAGATGTGTGATGCATAAGCTCTGCATGCAGCAGGAACTCAATAAATGTGCGAGGGGGTATGCTTGTGTTCGCGCTGCTTGCAGGCGGAATAGAGGACCGGGCAAGAGCCGCGACAGCGCCGCGGAGTCCCAACGCTGCCGTTTCCTTGGGGTCGGAGCACAGCCTCAAGCAGCCGCCAGCTCTAGGAAGACCCAGTTCAAAGCACAGGGCGCCCGGGAGCCCTGGCACGATACAGTTCACACCACAGCTGCGGTGGTAAGCCACGCCCAACTCCCAAGGGCCTAGGGGACCCCTGCCCTCCGAAGCCAGAGGGGAAACCCGGGCGCAGGATGCGGGGTTAATATCTGGTTGTAGGTAAGTGGGGTCAGGAGTTGCCTTTAGAGTCGGCGTTTCGGGAGAAGGTGATGATTCTCAGGCTCGGCGGACGTCTCGCTCGCGGTGAGCGCCTGCGGCGCGAGCCCTTTAAGACTATGCCAGAGGGCGCGTCCCGGCCTCTCCCGGGAGAGGAGGAGCGGAGCGGACCTGTGTCCCCGCCCCGGCCGGCCCCGCCCCCGCTGCCCGCCCCGCCCCCGGCATTCGGCCGGCGGCGCCTTTGATGTTCGGACCCGCCAGCTCCCGGAGCCGCTCTGCCCCGCGCCCTAGCCCGCGCCTGTAGCCCGCCCAGGCGGAGTCAGCCCGCGCTCCGCCCGCCGCGATCCGGGCTCGGAGGTTCGGACTCCGGGCTCGCCGCCCCCCGGGCCGGCTCCGCGCCCCGCACTCCCGGCGCCCCGCGCCCCGGCGGGCGGAGCGCACCATGCCGCAGCTGGACTCCGGCGGGGGCGGCGCGGGCGGCGGCGACGACCTCGGCGCGCCGGACGAGCTGCTGGCCTTCCAGGATGAGGGCGAGGAGCCGGACGACAAGAGCCGCGACAGCGCCGCGGGTCCCGAGCGCGACCTGGCGGAGCTCAAGTCGTCGCTCGTGAACGAGTCCGAGGGCGCGGCCGGCGGCGCGGGAATCCCGGGGGTCCCGGGGACCGGCGCCGAGACCCGCGGCGAGGCCGAGGTGAGCGCCCGCCGGCGCCAGCTCCTCCCCCGGGGTCGCCGCGCCCCGCCGCCCCCGCTGCGCGCGGCCCCCGGGGTTTCCAGCGTGCAGGGCGCCCCTGCCCCGGGGCTGGCTCCGACCCCGGCGCTCCCACCGCCCCTCACGTCCCTCCGGTTCTCCCTCCAGGCTCTCGGGCGGGAGCACGGTGCGCAGAGACTCTTCCCGAACAAAGTTCCAGAGCCCCTGGAGGACGGTGAGTTTCTGCCCGGCCCGGCTCGGCTTCCTCGCGCTCAGGCCTTGGCCTCGGTGGGACCGGGAAGCCGAGGACCGCGGGGAGCCGGGTGCCTCCCCCACCGCAGCTCGGGAGGCGGCAGAACCCAGGGGTGGGGAGTGGGGGGCGGGCTTCCCGGGCGCCGCTGGGTCGAGTCACTTCCGGTGCCCTGACCTTTATAGGAGTAAACAGACCCCAGCCATCCCCGCCTCCCCTCCTGCCCAGGTGACTGACTAATCCGCCGTCTTCAGGAGACAGAGCTGGCCAAGGTTCCTTGGTTGGAGGGCGGGGTGGGGGGTCAAGTAGGGGCCGCCTCGGGGAGGCCTGCACTCCTGGTCCTTCCCCCAAAACTTGGCACTGCGGATACTCCCAGCCCGTTCCTTTCCAAGTCAGGAACTTGCAGGGGACCCCTTGGCAATTCTTTTTCTCTGAAGAGCAGACAGCCTTCAGCCCCAGCCACCGCCAGGGCTGGTGTGTCTGACCCAGCTGTGGTTTTTCCAGGCCTGAAGGCCCCGGAGTGCGCCAGCGGCATGTACAAAGAGACCGTCTACTCCGCCTTCAATCTGCTCATGCACTACCCACCCCCCTCGGGAGCAGGGCAGCACCCCCAGCCGCAGCCCACGCTGGTAAGTGGCCCCAGCAGCCAGTGCCGCCCTCGGCTCGCAACCTCCTTGACCAGGTAGGCAAGAGACTTCTGCCTGGAACAAAACAGATGAGACTCCTGTGTTGGTCTTGTTTCCCATACACACCCAGTGGGATCCAAACCAAAAGGAGAACTTTGCTGAAGGAAGGAGGGGCTGCCCTGGGGCATCCCCTGCCCTCGGGCTCTTGGCTTTTGTCTTCCTAGCTTGCTCATAAGCAGTTGCAGGCTCTGTCCTGGTGCTGGGTGATGCCAGGGTGGGGTCTACTAACTTTTGAGCTGAGACCACCCTCTCTCCTCGCTGCTCTGATCTGAGCTCAGAGCTTTGCATTTAACTTTCTAACTAGCCCAGGAAACCCTGAGCCTCCTCGGGGCTTGGAGGAATGGGCAAAGCTTATCTGCTCAGGTACCCTGGTTGTACAGAAGAAACGTGCTGTACTGTGTCCTTACTGGTGTGAGTTCACCCTCGCCAAAGAAGGACCCTGAACACCATTGTGTGGAAAGTGGGTTCTTAGGAAACTGGCTTGGTCTCAGACACACCAGGAAGAGTTGGCGAAGGTGCCACAAATCAGTGATGTTGAGAAGGGACCAGTTTAATGAATGCGTGAATTAAATATTTTTAAGTACCCAGTGCTTTGAAAAGATTTCATGATCATTACAAACCATGCCTGTTGGTGCAGATGACCTTAGTGTGAAGACCCTATTCTGAGTGCTTTGGAGCAGTATAGCTGCTCTTTTAAAGAAATCCCTGTTTGTGTCCACACTCTTCTCAGTTGGCCCAAGTTGGGGTGAGGGTACATGGAAGGTTTGGATGACTGTGGTGAGCAAGTATTGGATGCGGATGTAACCCCAGTGCAGGTGGGGCTGGCAGGCTGAAGACTCACATGGCTACGGTAGGGTCACCAGAGGGAGGAGAGAGTAACTGCTAAGCTGTTTCAGACCAAGAGTGCAGAGGGTGGTTCTGAGAGCTACTGCATGCTGAGCTGGTGGGAGTGAGAAGACATCCAGCTTCTCTCCAGAAGCCCAGGCTGGAAAACCTGTTGTATGGCTGGCTCTAAAAATGAACTTCTTGCCCTTTGGGCCCCTATTTCCTCATCTGCAAAATAAGCATGTTTCCGAGTAGTCTCTGTATCCAACTTTCTGCTCGGGGGTGGCTTGGTGTATGAGGTGGTTCACTTCCTTCCAAGTCTGTGAGGTGAGGGGCTTGCCCGCTAGCCTTCCCCCCATGCAGTGACTGTACCCAGAGAACTCACTCCACATGAGCCCATGCTTAACAAAGATGCATTTTGGATTCCTGCAAGACCCAAACCCTTAGATTTGGGACCAGGTTGACATAATCCACCAGTGCCAGACTTCCAGCAGGTGAGCTGCATGCATGGGGGCTGGGGTCACCGTGGGACCGTGATTAGACAAAAGGCCTAGGCCCAAGGCTCCACTTCATCCTCCCGGGGCTCCACAGCAGCACAGGGAAAAGGCATCCTTTTGGAGCTCATCTCGTGGTGTGGGCAAGTGCTGGGAGAGTATCCAGAGCAGGGAGGGCCTTGTTCTGCTGTCGGGGGAAGGGTGATGGGACTGTTTGGTGTCCGTTGGCAACACAGGTCAAGAGTAGTCTCTAACAGTCAGGATAGTCGGGGAGGCACAATACCATGGGCCTGGGTCATTTATTTTTCACCTTTCTGTCTTTCTCAAGCCATGGCAGATGCATTTCTATGTATCACACCCGCTCCTATAGGTACAAACCCCCTTGCGCTCCTCCCCACTGTCTGGGTTCTAGGCACACAGGAGGAGGAGGATGGACTCTGACAGTGACTCTCTGTGTCTTGGCCTCAGCTGCTCTGTGGGGCTGCAGAAAATGACAGAGGCAGAGGTCTCAGTGGGAGTGACACTGGGTGAGGAAGATGTATGTGAATTTAGGTGAATCTCTTTCAGCAAACCTGCCAGTTACAAATACATAGCAAGTCAGAGTATTTGCTTGCATTACCTGAAGACATGTGGGCATTTAAAATGTGGTTGGGTTTTACCAAGCAAAGTGGATCCACCCCCACATTTTAGAAGCACATTTATCATTGGATTCAAGGTTCATGTGTCTGGAACCAGGACTGATCCTCTTATCTTGGGTTGGGAGACCCTTGCAAGGGCCCTGAGGAAAAACTACCTTTGGAAAAGTTTTCCAAAGCTGGTCACTTTCCCAAGCCCATATTTAAAGAACAGACAGCTTGCTGCTCAGGCCCTGCCACAGGCCTTAGATCCAGGCCCCCTTGCCCTTTGCCCAGCCCTTTCTGAGGGCATCCGTGTGGTCAGCACTTAAGCTCAGATGCCCGAGGCCAGTCACTGGACTTCCCTCAAGAGCAGGAAAAGCCTATACCAGGGACTGCTCTGCCCATGTGTGGGATGCCCATGCGGCTGCTGTGTTAGAGACCTCAAAACAGCTCGAATCTCGACGGGAGCAATGGGCTGAATGACCACCCCACAGCCAACTGCCACAGGACACTTTTTTTTTTTCTTCCAAAAAGGTTCCTTCTTTTTGGTAGTAGGCTTCTTTTAAGCTTGTTTGAGGAAGAAGAAATTAGGTCAAAGTTCATTCCATGAACACTGTCAGGCAACTAATGTAGGCTTGCAGGCAGTTACTGGCCTAGACCAGTAACCAGGGTTTTTTGTTTTGTTTTTGTGTTTTGTAAGAGACAGGGTCTCACTCTGTTGCCCAGACTGGAGTGCAGTGGTATGATCTTGGCTCACTGCAGCCTCGAACTCCTGGGCTCAAACAGTCCTCCCACCTCAGCCTCCTGAGTAGCTGGGACTACAGGTAGGCACTGCCATGCCCGGCTAAGTTTGTTTTTATATTTTGTAGCAATGGGATCTCGTTGTGTTGCCTGGGCTTCGGTTTGGTTTTGTTTTCTCCTCTCTGCTCTGAGACCTGAAAGTCGGTGGAGGCAATGAGCAGGAGGATAGTGAGCTGATCCTAGGCTGTACTTTGGGGGAGATTCTGGGATGAGTAAGATATTATTCCTTAGGCAAACTCAGGCTCCTGGGTGCACACAACATAGTCAGTCTGGTCATATCCAAAAATGATGTGAGGCAGCCTTGCTCTGTGGCTCCTATGAGCTCTACTTGGAGTCTGTAGCTTGGACAGATGCTGAGCCTTTTGCCATTTTGATGAAATACCCAGAATAAACACAGAGGATAAGTGCTTGCCAGGGGTTGACGGAAGAGAGGGCTGCTAATGGATATGGGGATACTTTCTGGGGTGACGAATATGTTCTGGAATTACATAGTGGTGACAGTTGCACAATCTTATGAATATACCAAAAGCCAATGAATTATATATCCTTTAAAACGGTGTATTTTGGCGGGGCGCAGTGGCTCACGCCTGTAATCCCAGACTTTGGGAGGCCGAGACGGGTGGATCACAAGGTCAAGAGATCGAGACCATCCTGGTCAACATGGTGAAACCCGTTTCTACTAAAAATACAAAAAAATTGGCCGGGCGCGGTGGCGCAAGCCTGTAATCCCAGCACTTTGAGAGGCCGAGGCAGGTGGATCACGAGGTCGAGAGATCGAGACCATCCTGGTCAACATGGTGAAAGCCCGTCTCTACTAAAAAATACAAAAAGTTAGCTGGGCATGGTGGCGCATGCCTGTAATCCCAGCTACTCAGGAGGCTGAGGCAGGAGAATTGCCTGAGCCCAGGAGGCGGAGGTTGCGGTGAGCCGAGATCGCGTGCTCCAGCCTGGGTAACAAGAGCGAAACTCCATCTCAAAAAAAAAAAAACAAAACAGTGTATTTTATGATATGTGAATTACATCTCAATTTAAATAAAAAGGCTGAGGCCTTTGGCTGTTGGCAGACTTGGAGTCATGTTTCTCCGTCCCTGATCTCCACAGCCATCCAGGTCCCTGGGCATGCCCCAAGCCAGGGGGTCAGGCGTCAGGTATCAGGTCCAGTGGAAAGAGCCTCGCTCAGGCAGTGGACTCGTGTTGGTGCTCCCAGCAGGTCCAGAGTGTGCCTGGGGGAGCAGGAGGTGAGGGTATGAGCAAGGTTCCAGCAGAGGAAGGAAGTGCTGCTGACGCACGGCCAGCCTGTCCGAGCCACTTTACAGAGATGAGTAGGTGCAGGAGCACCCACCGGCCTCCACACACCACAGGGCGAGCCGTGGGCCTTGCTGGGAAGCGTTAGTGATTGGTGTTGAGCGCCAGCTCTGGCTGGAGTGAAGCCTGCTAGGAGGGAATTTGGCACCAGGTTGGGTACCAGGCTCTGCCCCTAGGAGTGCCCGGCTGAGTGGAGGAGACAGAGACCTGAAGCAGGAGCTGGTAGGAGAAGCTCCTGTCACCAGGGTGTCCCAGCCCCAGCCCCAGCTATGAGGGAGAGCCCACTGAGCAGCACCCTGAAGGCCACAGGGTATCCAACAGATGAAGACAAGGGAGGGACTGGCAGGCCCCAGGCTCTTCTCTGAACACATCCCAAACCTTCCAGCTTCTGCAGTTAGCACCTGAAACCCAAACTATCGCCATCTCTCACCCAGACAGCAGCAACAGCCCCCCCAGGGGCCCCCTCCCTCACCCTCTAACCCCCATCCTAACCCACAGTCCAGGCTTCATATAGCAGCCAAAGGGGTCCTTTAAGACAGAAATCAGATCACAGCTCTCACGTGATTAAACCCTGCATTAGCTTCCCAATGCTCTTGGAGTAAAGTCCAAGCCACTCACCACATCTGAGTGCCTGGGTGGCCCCCTTGTCACCTGCACCAGCCTCTTGCTTTGTCCCTGATAGCAGTCCCGTCCCTGTCCTGGGGTGAGGGGGGGGGTCTTGCAGCCAGCAACTTCTTTACACCTCAGGACTCCTGCCCTGCTTCCTTCCGCTCAGAAGTCTCTTCCCCAGCCCTGCACATAGCCACCACCTTCTCATTCCTCACTTAGGGCTCAGTTCAGATGTCTCCGCCTCAGGGAGCCCCCTCTGACCATCCCTGTGGGACCCTCCTCATCCTCCAGC